AGATTTTGAATGACACAAATTTTTTATTTTTATTTATTTATTTATTTATTTATTATTTTTTTAATGGAGAGTCACCTTCATTTCTGCAAATTTCAGTATTGATGTCTATTTATACCCCAAACTCTCATTTTAATGTTTCCATTCTGATTGCCTTTAACTAAAATCCTCATACATGAGTTTTAAGTCTATTTTTTCAAGGGCACTGGAATCCTTTGGTGGAAAACAATGATGGGAATTGCCTCTGAGATGGTAGATAGACATAAAATGCACACATATTTAACATAAAGATATGGAAAATAATAGAGAAAAGCAGAAGAAATCACATTTAAAAATTAATTTTACAAAATTGAACATGTTTATAGCAAAATAACTTCATAGAGACCTTGACTAATAGGAATAATAACTTTATTCATAAAGGTAAAATGTAAGTCAAATTTCCTCAGTTGGAGTTACTGACCCTGAATTAATATGAATCTGAGAGCTCTATTGCTGTGAAAGTTCTACCCATTTTGGCAAATCCTGCCACTTTAGACATGGAATGAAAAGAGCAAAGAAGAAATTAAAGGGAGGACATCTAGAACAATTCCATAGAATAAATTAAAAAATTTGTGTTAGATTTATATTCAGATGTCCTGCAAACTGGTTTAATTCTCCTAAATAATGATTTGTAGGCAAATCTGGGGGCATCTTTTAGTTGTATTTGACACATCCCATTACCCACTGAAATCTCTGTAGACATGTACAAGTTTGTGCTTCTCTTTCACATTGTTCTTGCATGTATCCTTCTCAGAGGTCTGTATTCTGGTCTTACTCTCCCATGCCCTGTTTTCTAATAATGGACACAAGAGACAGACCAAGAAAGGACAGACACCTCCAGTCTGCAAGCATAAGTATACTTAGCCAAGGACTGCATAACGCTGAAGTAGTGTCACAGCCAGGCTCAGTCTGGGATTTCTGAGTCTTCCCAGATACTAAGAGCTGGGTCATTTCCTTGCATAGAACTAGAACAGTCTTGGCATAATTGGGCGTTTCAGTTCCTCATTTACACCTACGCACAGCCAAGAGCCAAAAATTACTCATAGATTCCTTAAATGCACACCAGCACAACACAGATATCCTTATGAGGAATAGGTACCCCTCAGAATCTGTGAAGAGAAACAGGCATGCCTCTTTCTTCATCACCCTAAAATTAATGTTTAAGGTAGGTCAGGTGAATTGCACACTACAAAAACCTATTTCCCCATATTTAAAGAGAACATATAGTTTATTTGCAAATCTCTACCAAATAGACATATAAAGCCAGACCATCACTTTCCTTGAGGTTTGAAGGGCAACACCAAATAAGGATTCTGAGAGTAGCACCCTTATTATGCACTGGCAGACTACTATTTTCTTTTACAATGTGTTGTAAAGCATAATTTGCACTTTTAAACTCTCCTTTTGCATTGTAGACTTGCCATTCATACACATTCCTGGGAACCAATAATAATTATCTTGATTTTAATTATTTTAGGAACTATAAGCGTGCTAGACTGATAGATTCCCACCTTGCTCCATCTTCACCTCCTTTTCTAGTAGGGAGTAAATAGTGTTGTTTTGATTAGGTTTTACATATATAAATACAATCATATTATTATTATGCTTATGCCTATATTACAGACAACTTTGTAAAAAAGCAGCATCTGGCTCATTTTCATGATCTCACCTTCTTGTCCACATTCTGTCTTTGTGCTACCAGTGTCCCACAGGTTTATTAATTTTAGAACTGAAGAGAATTCAAATTGGTAGTCCTTCAGCTTCATTGCTTTTAGTCTTAGAGTGGTGGAGTGGTTAGAATGCTCTTTGAAGATACTGATCATACCTGGAGACTTCATACTTTTTTTTACCTCTGTGATTTTCTGTATGGATCAACTCCTCAGAGTGGAGTTTCAGAGCACGTGCAGATTTGCCTAATGTGTTAGTGTCCATAGATGCTACTGCTGCAGAAATAATGAATGTTGCTAGTAGTGGGCTCAGAAAATGTAGTCATTATATCTCCTCATCCAGGCACTGATATGCTTATTTTTTACTGAGGACGTTACAAAGTGGCACAGGAAGCTTTCGTTTTGTTTATTTTTAAAATAGTATCAGAATAAGAGGAAAAAAAAATCCTGGTAGGGAAAAAAATAATCTTCCATCAGTTGAAAAGGCAGTGACTACTTTTATGGGTTCTGCAAGATAGATGGTAATGAAGGGATGGGAGGATGGGAAGGAAGAGAGCAAAGGAAAAGGGAACCCGTTTAAAATGTCAGTGTGAGGCATTAAGAATATAAGTGCCATGGCCACCCCCATCCATTCTGTTTGCCTCTTTTAATCCTTGATCCAGCTGCTCCAAACATCTGGCACAGTGAACTCTGGGCTCTGACTCACGGGGAGTCCTTGGGGATATGTGTGTGGGAGCTGCTTTGCATCCAGTGTCGCTGCATCCATGTGAATCTGTGTGTTCTGCTTGTGTGGGGATCCTCTCCCTCACCTGCTGCAGCCACCCACCATCATCCCAGCCAGCTGGGTGTCTCCATTACCAATGAGAGGTGGCTGCTTTCTGACTCCTTCATCACACACACGGTCTCTGGGAGACCAAGAACTGCTGTGACAGCCCAGCTGAGCAACAGCATCTCCCCTTTCTGCAGATCCCTGACACTGCTTCTTTCCAGGAATGTTGTGCACTGGAATTACACTTTACTCCCCTTCCCCTTCTACAGACCCATCCTTATCCTCCTTCTTCTGATCTGTGCCTTCTCTGTAGATATCTGCCCCTTCTCTATAGGTATCTGGCCCGTATTTTAATCTGTCTCCAGCCTGAAATTGCTGGGTTTCCATTAATTTCACAGCTCATACTCTTTTGGGTGGGAAGATGATGTCTGAGAACAGCATAGGAAGAAGGATGCTCCTTCTTCATCACCTGACCAGGGCACTAGCAGTAGTGGGGAGCCCTTGTAACTACTGAGCTCTCCCCTCTCATATAATCTACCCCCATACCTTCAAGAGGCAACCCCCCAAAGTCCCTTGGAGCAGAGTAGGGGAAACAAATGGCTGGAGCCACATGCACACATGCTCACAGTGCCCTCTGCTTTAAGGGCTGGCTGCTGAAATGGTGTCAGTGGCAACAGGAGCCAGGAAAGCTGAGGGAAAATATGAAGCAGGTGCTGGCTGATGGGCTTCCAGCCAGTCCCAGGCTGGGACTGAAGGAGGATGTGAAGGAGAAAGAGGCCAGGCACTGCACCTGGCAAGCACAAATGGCATTCCTATCCTTCACCCCTTGGGATGAAAGGGGTGGTCAAACTGGGAATCTGGTGTTAGAGAGGCAGCAGTAAAAGGATCACAGGATTAGGAGCATAGATGGAGCCATAGCAAGACAATCCCTCTTCCCCTGCTCCCCAACAACTTTATCAAAGTTACCCCAGCTGGGCAGAGGTGCAGCTTGGATGTGTCAGTGCATCAGTGCAGTCATTCTGTGGGAGCCACGACAAGTAGCAGCCAGGATTTAGGTCATTCAGTATTCATTATAAATAAATAAATAAATATAATATTTTAAGCAGCAACCCAAAGAGGGGGGAACCAGCAGAGAGTGCCAAGCTGTGGTGCAGCGGCAGAGAATGGCTGTTAATTCTCGAAAATGGATGCACGAGCTAATCCTCCCCTGCAAATACAGCCTAATAAATGGTTGGACCCAGCAGCCTTTTAAATGCCAGATCAGCTCTTACTTAAATGGCATTTTGCTTTTTTATTTATTTATTTTACTTTTATTTATTTATTTACTAAGAATAGCTCTGAATTAAGAGATGATCTCCGTCCGGCGTTGTGTTGCGATGGTTTGTTGCCGTTTGCGACTGTTGCTGCGAGAGTGCTGGGAGGTGATGAGTTTGTCAGGGCTCAGGCCATCTAGGACCCCTCACACACTCACACCCCTACCCACACCTCCAAAATCCCTCCCAAACCATCGTGCCCGACCCTGTGCTGTGGGTCCCTGCTCGCTCCGGGCAGTGTGCTGCAGCCGGTGGGAGAGGAGCAAGACAGCTGAGTGTGAATGAGAGCAGACTGGGATGTGTAGGGCTAAGACGTGAGGAGGAGGAGGAGAGAGGGAGGGAGGAAGCCTTGGGAGTATGCAGGGATGCTCGAAAGGAAAGTAAAGCCTCAGCCGGCTCCAGGAGGGAAGGGCTAACCGAGGAAAGCTGCATGTGTGGGAAGCTCATAGTTAGCAGGACAGGGAGGTGCTGAGGGTTTTTTTGGGGAGGTGGAGAAGCTGAGATGGAGGGCGCCGAGCTCAGGGGCAGAAGATAGGCGACGAGGAATTCCACTCTTGGGGCTGCAGGAACGGTCCCAGGGGTGCTGGCTGTGGAGGCGGGGGGCTGTCAGGGAACGGCAGCGCCCAGGGGTCCAGGGAGCCCGGGGGGGGGGGTTCCGGGACGGGGGAAGAGGAGATGAACAAGAAGGGTGCAAGTGACTCTTGCCTTGGGGACAACCGGAGGTAGTCCGGGAGGGTGGGGAGAGGAGCAGGGGGCACATCCCTCCGGCAGGGCTGGCAGCCCCGGCTGCCCTTGGCCGGTGCACCGCTCCTCGTCTCGCCGTGCCCGGTGCTGTCGTCTTGCAGCCAAGACAAGGAAGGGAGAGGGCAGCTTGCCCTTCCAGTGGCAGGTAGCCCTTCCTTTGTGCTTGGTAGCCCTGGACGTTGGTGGATGTGGAGGGGGTCGCTGCTCTCGCACCCCCTCTCTCCCCTTGTCAAGGAGCAGCAGGCAGAACCCAGTACTGGCAGGCTGCTCGCTTTCCTAGAGGGATCTGTGCCACTTGGTGGCACTAAAAAGTTGCTCTGGCGCCCGGCTCTCTCCCTGCGAGCCCCCCCTCTGCCCCCCCCAGCCCCGCAGATGCAGGAGCCACCGTGCAGCGCGGTCCCCGAGGGGAGGCGAAACTTTGGCGGAGTGAATTCCCTAAAACCCCGCCGAGACTGAAGGGGTGAGCTCTTCCTCTCGACTCGGTTTAAAACAGACCCTCCCGAAGGTCTTTTTTTTTTTTTTTTCGGTAATGGTGTTCGGAGCCGAACGCCTGACAGGAAGGGAGGGGTGCGGCAGGGAGGTGTCCATAAAGACGGGGGGACTTTCAACCTTCCGAGCACCTGGAGAGATCTCCCTGCGAGGAAAAAAGCAGGATTAACCTCTTATAAATGCAGAGAGGTTGCTGCCGTCTAGAAGTGAGGAGGGGCTGAGGTGTTTAAGCCGGTGGGTCAAGCCGCAGCAAGTATTTCGGCTGACCAAGGCTGTGGTGGCAGGGAGCAAAGCCCCATCTGTTGTTTCATTGTTTGTTTGTTTATTCCTCCTCCTCCTCACGCCTCTCGCTCCCCCTCCTCCCCGCTTAAATCCAGGGACCATTCACGCCTCTTGCAAATGAGACTTGGGCGATGCTGAGCGAGCAGCGTGTTGCATGGCGTGTGTGTGTGTGCATGCATGCGCGGGGGAAGGATTCTCGGTGCTCAGCGTTTGCCTGTGATCAGAAGAAAACAGGATGTGCCCATAGCTGGAGGAGTGACAATGCTAGCCGAGTGGGGCTCACCTGCTGGTGATCTTTGCAGAGGCATTTGAGGATTATTCAGCTCCAGAAGGTCTGTTGCGAGGAATGCTATCTCTGCCGTGGCTGAAAATAGGAGGTGCCTACCTCTACCCGTCTTGATTGCTGCTACCGAAAGGACTGCTTTGACACCACCGTAGGAAGGAACGATTGCTCCCACAGACAAGGTAATGCTGCGGGGTGGGAGAAGGGATTCGTGAACCCCCGGTTGCGGACAGAAACCCTGTGGATGCAGGAGGAACTCTTTCCCCTCCCTCCCTCCTTCCTGCTATTGCTCCGTGCCCTGGTTGCCGGAGGACAAGCAAGGCTATTGAGGGGCAGGCAAAGCAGCCTATGGGGCACACCTTCAGAGGCTGCTGAGGTACCTGGAGGTTGGGGCACTGGAGGGCAGTGGGCACTGACCCCTCCCAAGGAGTGGGGTGTATGTGGGGCAGAAGGTAATGGGGGTGCTGCAATACCTGGGCTTGGTGATGCGTGTGATATATCCCTTCCATTCACCACTGGGGATTTGCCTTGCCATAAAGGGAAAATGAAAATGGGATGTATTTGGTTTATTTTTTTTCGGAGACAGCCAGGCTGAGCCCATCCACGGACTTTTCTGTGTGACCTTGGGACAAATCACTTTGGCTCTGCTTGGCAACTCCCATCTGATCCTTATTTAATAATGGGAGATAATGCCTCTACATGCAAAAATGATACATTAAGAACCGAGTGTGACACCACTGGGGAGACAGAGACCTAAGAACCGGTGTGCATGCACACATATACGTGTGCATGCCCAGCCACACAGTTGTAGCACCGCAGGTAGCTATTCCGGGAGTTAACCTTGTCCAATAGTTTCCTCTCCGACCCAGCTCTGAGCACCCAATGCATTTATAACAAAAAGTGATTCTGCAAAACAACAGTGACCACCGTGGCATTTTTTAACCACTGGTTGATTTTCAGATTATTTTTTAACCCCTTCCCCAAAAAAACCTCCGATGAGGTGAGCGCTGGTGCTGGTGCTGCTCAGCACCATGGACAGAGCCGGGGCCGGCGCCCGCCCCGCCAGGTGCCCGCAGCAGCGCTGCGCCGCATCCCGGGGCTCCTTTGCTCCCCTCGTGCCCCTGCCATTCGACCTCTCCCCCTCTCGACAAGGGCTTTCTGGTAGGTAGGGGTGGCTGGGAGCTGGGGGGCGACCGAGCATTTTGTTTCTGCTAGTCCTGAGGACAAAGCGGGAGGACCAGCTTTAAAGCACAGTGTCAGAGGGCTGTTTTGAAAATACATCACTTTAAGCAACCCTGAAATGAGAAAGTGTATAACGGAGTTAACTGCTGGGTTCTTTTCATTCTCTATACCTTTATTATTATTATTATCACAGTATCCCTAAACATCTTTATCACACACTAACATTGTGCGCATTTTCAAAGACTTTAACTACATGATAATATATGTGCTATATGATCAGGGACGCCAGCATTAATCACTATTTCAACTGATCAGAGAATATTTATGGTGTCTCTATATAGGTTTTTTGTTGTTTTATTTGCCAGCCAATGTATCATCTTTTTATTTGTTTTATATTGTGGTAGTACTGGAATGCCACTCCAATGCAACTCTTGTTGTGACTTGCTAGAAGATAGATGTTCTTATGGTGGTTTTTTGTTTGTTTGTTTGTTGGTGGTGGCGTTTTTTTTTGTTGTTGTTTGTTGTTGTTGTTGTTGTTGTTGTTGTTTTGGAATTGCTATTGCTTTTCCTTGATCACTTCCTCCAGATCATACAGTTTTGCTAATTATTAAAATGTCTCGGATTACAGCTGAAATCACACCAGAGCTATTAGTTTCTGCGTCATGTGGTATAGCAGTAATAAGTAGTATATTCAGCAGAATTGCAAGTTTTACTGTGATGTTAAGCACCTACACATTAAAAAAAAAAAAATGTTTCATTAACCAGAAAGTGTGTGTGCATGTGAGAATATAGGGAAGAACTTCCTGTGATTGCTAAGGATCTTGCTGATAATTATAGCCTTCTATGTTTATTATCTATGAAGGCATGCATGAGATCTGCCTACTAGTCTGTTATTTTCTGTGGCTGCTCTGACCAAATGGTTAGAAATCTTCTGTGCTGCTTAGTTTTCTTCTGTATCTAAGTCAAATTGCAGAAAACTGTTTCATAGTCTCTCCTGTTGTATAAGTCTGTTTCTTTTGTCAAAGGGCTTGATCCAAAACCTGCTGTAATTCATGGAGCTGAATTTTTTTATTATTTTTTTATTATATTTTTTTAGTGAATGGAAAAGTTGAGTGACAGTAGCAGTCTCAAAACATATTAGTGTGTTCATATTCATGTTTTGCAACTAATGACCGTTAGAGTGCATCAGGTTTTGTGTGAACAAATAGAATTACCTCTGAGGAGTGAGTGTGTGGGACCTTCTGGAATTTGAACCTTTCTATAGCATTGGGAACAAGGTAGCCAGAATAATTTGAACCCAATGCTTAGTGTTTGCAATGTCCAATAGTCGTAAGAATTGAGCAAAAGCTTAGCGTCCTAAATGTACACTGTTTGCTCCCATTGTTCCCTGTTGATAAGAGCTGAGAGGTCTTTCTACTTATATAATCACTTTTCTAAGGTTGTTCCATCTTCTGTCTCCCAAAGATCTTCACTGCAAGAAAAGTAGCAGGGCTGACTCTGGACCAGTAATTCAGTTGCTGCCTGCTTTGTCTTCTATGGTGATGGAACCTGGTTTAGTTCCTTGGGATATATTGATTTGATTCATATCTATGCCTATATTGACATTTGTTATCTCACATCTGATAGCACAGAATTAATTGCATTGCGTGCTGTAAATGAATGCCCAGAAAGGCTTTCATTGGCAGGTACATGGTTGTAGGCTATATATACATAGACTATAAGTAAATTTGTCACTGAAAATCAATGGATTTTGGGGCCATCTTTTTTTTTTTTTTTTTTTTTTTTTTTTTTTTTTGTGATTTTTCTGATTGGGGAAATCCTTTAAGGAGATATTAAACTGTATGTATTTTTTAACAGATGATAAATCATCAGCATTCTTCATGTGTTTAGCATGTAGCATATTTCCAAGTGCTTTCCTGGATCAGGCTCTGGGTTCTTATTTCATCACAGCACTGTTCTGTGGTCCAATAATCTTGAATTTTATTTTCATTATTTAAATCTGCCTGAAGATTTAGAGACCATAAACTACAGGTTATAAGCTTACAAAAATATAACCAATAAGATAAATGAAAGAAAATATTTCTCTTTTGCTCCATTTTTTTTTTCCTGATAAAAAATAACTGAAATCAAAACCTCCCTTTGCTGAGTTTTCATTTTACCTGTAGAAACCACACAGCCAAAAGAATTCACTGTAAAAAAGACGGGTCCTTCACTCTGGGATCACTAGTGGGCGCTGCTATAATAATGTAAGTCACAGGAAAGGGTTTAATTCTTAAGGTTTAAACAGTTACACCTGCTGTAGTAGAAGACCTTATGAAAAGTCAGATGTGCCCCATGTATAAATTCTCAGCCACAAACATAGTGGAAATTAGCTCTCTGTGAACTGCTGTGGGATTTTTTATCAAGTTTTAATTAACACAGTTGGATATTAGAGCTCTTTCTATTTGTTTTGGTCTATACAGACGGTAATTATAGATGGACTTGTGTTTGAGGATGAAATAAATCATTTTAAGAAATAGATGATCTTTCATGGAATATTACAGATCCTCATTTTCTACTCAGTTAAACCTCAACATGAAGTAGCTGGAAGTCTGCTCTAAAGGAACAGCTGAGAATTTCTCCTGACAGAGATTGGCGTAAAGTTTTTCCTGCCAGGGAGAGCAAAGGTTAGAGAAATGTGTTGAATGCTTCATCATATCTGTGTCTTCAGTCACCTGAGTAGCCCTTAAGTTTTCAACTAGAGCAAGAGTACACAAAGACCAGATAGGCAGAATTATGTTTTCACCTTAACATTTCCGCAGTCATTCCAAGTGTGAAGCTAGTGCAGCAAAGGACTGAGACTCAAGTGCCTGTCAGCTATTGTTGTGACTTCAGGATTAGTTTATAGCTAGATTCATAGCTGAAATGTGATAGGAACCTTGATACACCAGTAATTAAGTGCCTGATTCAATTTTGTCCATCTTTCAGTAAAATAGTAGTAACTCCCTTGATGCTGAACAGTGTGAAAAATAAATTTGACCCTAAATGCTGTGCATCTTGATTTGCTTGTCCATCAATGAAAACAAGTAAATGCAGGTAAATCATTAATTTGGAAACGATTTCTACTACTTTATGCATGTGTTCAAGAGTTCTCTGTCTATGATGCTGTTGATATCACTGTTCTCAATCTGAAGTCTACAGCATGTGAAACTCCCTGTAAGGTTTAAGGAAACTCCTTTTAACTCCCTCCCATTTAACACAGGAATTATATTTAAGCTTCTGAAATTTTTACTTCATTTTGTTTTGGTAATCATACTGCTTGTAATAATAAACTTCCAGTAGGAGGAAAGAATGGAATCAAAATGTGGAATGACTTGTATGTGATTCTCTGGGAATAAGATAGCAGCACAATTGTACATTTGAACAGATAGATCCCTTGGCAACCTTCTTTTCAGGGAGGAATGGAGTTCTCCAGGAAATGTAATTTGTGTGCTTAGTCTATCAACTCACTGCTCAGCCATCTTTTGTCCTAGAATGCAATACGTTACCTAACTACCCTTGTGGCACCTCTGGCATATCCAGTGATATCTAGGGAAGAATGACAGGCAATGGGCCTGAAACAAACTGAAATACAGGAAATTCTGTTTAAATATAAGAGGAAAACAAACAAAACAAAACAACCAACCAACCAAAAAAAAAAAAAAAACCCTCATTATTTTCAGTGTGCTCAGACACTGGCTGCCCAGAAAAACTGTGGAGTCTCCAACCTTGGAGGTATTCAAAACCTGAATGGACATGATTCTGATTTACCTGCTTTAGCTGAACTTGCTTCCATGAGGTTAGATGGACCAGATGACCTCCAGAGGTTCCTTCCCATCTCAGCCATTCCATGATTTTTAGGATTATGAGAGCAGGAGTAAGACCACAGAATCAGATCTCTGTTATACAAATGCAAATCCATAGTAATTTAGTAGGCTCACTTAACCATGTCTGTATCAATTTCAGGTTGCTTCACCGTATCATGAAAGCCCACAGAAGACATTGACTTCAGATACTTTTGAGTCCTAAGCCTAATACTACATAACATAAGTAGTTTGCTTGGTGCAATTAGTAACAACATTGAAAATCTCAAGTAAATTGAATTTCAATGTAGTACAGCAGGGTATAAGAAGACAGTTCATTAATTCTGGAACAACTCCAGTCAGTCACTATCTGGCCCCTTCTTTTCCCTTGGAAGCCATGGAGTGGAAGGATTTGACTGCTTTTAAGATGCTCTTGGGCCCTAGGAACACCTCAGCCCTGATATCTGCTGTTATTTTTGAACTAGAATTATAAAGGATACCTTCAGCTTTACTTCATTCTTTATCCTGTAGTTTTATACTGATAGATACAACAGTGGACAGAGAAGAGCAAACAGTTGTTCGTTGGAGTGAAGCTGATAAAAATGTCCCTGCCCTCTCTTTCCCATATACCCTATATAGAAATTGTTTAACCGAAAGATGTAAGTCCAAGGACAGTATCAGTAAACCTGACCAGAATCCTCGGAATGTGTGCTGTAAAATTAAAATGGTGGATGAGGACTGGATTCTTTTTGAGTCATAAGCTCACTCCACCCCACCCAGTCTCTCTCTATTTGTGCATATGCAGCTGCATAGGCAGCTAGGTTATAAAAATACTTCTAATTGTATATCCAGTTACAGTCTGAGGCAAGGCTAGCATTTGATCTCAATATAGTTGTGCTCTGTACATGTAGCTTTAATTTGAAGAGCTCAGAAGCATCCATGTTTTAAATAGCAGAGTACTATGTCTGTTAAAATGCTAATAAGTTAATAAATATTTAAAATATTTTAATAAAGTGATAAAACTTTGAATTACTTGGAAGTATAGGAATTTAATAGCTATGATATCATACAAAGATACGCCCTGTCATTCATCTTTCAGACTGTTTACAAATTATGCAGTGTCGTCTTCAGAGCCACAGAACAAACAACTAGAATACATAAGCGGTAGTTATATTCTGTAATTAGAGAGTAATTAACCTGAATTGAACTGCTGTTATTCAACAGTGGCAAGGGGTTTCAGTATTGATAAGCCAGCTCTTCACAAACAAACAAATAAAAAAAAACTGTTGAAGCATTCTACAGTTGTCTTAACCCAATTTCATTATTATCACTTTTATATTTCTAGAAATTAATATTACATGAACTTATTAATATTGCAATTGATATTACAAGACCATTTCTATGCAGTGTTTTTAAAGATTTGGATTTCATTTGGGAATACTCACTGAAACTATTGCATGATATCCTCTGTGTAAATACTTTAAAATCTATAGATGTCAAGGTACAATAACAACTAAACAAGGCTAACCTCAAGCAGGAAAATGTTTTTAGATTTCACTTTCTCATCTGTAGAATCAGTAAGATTGTAATTGTGGTACTGTATTGAATGATCTAGCTGCAAGTGGTAAATTCAAGATTAAACTCCTGCCAGATTTTGAACCTTGGAAGCAGCAACAGCAGATTTCCCATGGCAAAGGGTTTCTTTCATTTTGCAACATCTGAGCACTGTTAGAGTTATGTTAATGGATTATAAATGACTAGTGGATCTGTGGATCTGAAATGTATCAAAACTCCTATATTCTTTTTTATTACATTAGAAAGATTTATGTGAGTAAAACTGAGATCAGGCTTTGTCCCAGGATTCTGCAGCTTTTTTTTTTTTTTTTTTTTTTTTTCAATAATGAGACTGGGCATGCAGTTCACTAACTAGTTCAGCATCTTCCAAGATTTAAGAGCGTGCTCAACTTTCTGTACTGTCAATAGATCCACTGGTAGGAGTAGAGCAACAGACAATACTTTAATGTCGTCTGTGATCAAGACCTGATCAAACTATTGTTTAAGCATTATATTTAAAATGAGAAGCAGATTATTGTAAATCCACTGTTAGGTACAGAACATTTTCAAGTACGTTTTCAAGTTCCATTAACCACATTTTTTTGCTGATTTAAAATCAGTTAAAAAGATTTCACGTTGATTTACTGTTTTAGAATTGGAAAGAATCTGTTGTTCCTCTAGCTGAAACATTCACTGCTGAAATGAACAAAAATATTAACGAAGACATCAGTTTTCTTAATCTTAACTTTTTAAAATTTTAAAATTTTAAAAGATCATTGGTTTCATGTTGAGGCTGACAAACAACAACAACAACTACAAAAAAAACACATTTTCAGTTTGGAAGAGACATATTCTTCTTTTCTTAACATATTTCAAGAAAGGCTTTATTTAACAGTAGAAGTTTCCTAGTGCTGTAGTTGATAACATGGCCCAAGGTACATTAGTGTGTTGTATGAATTTGTGAGATAAATAACACCTGTAAATAAGAGGGCTGCTTTCAAAGACACACATTAGATGTGGAAGCATCTTTCTTCTTTGGAATGTAATACTTGTCTGCCTTTTGTGCTTGTGAAAATGTTTCACAACAGAGTTTTTAAACAAGAGTGTCAAAGAGAGAGACACTGATTTATAACAGCACAAGTACAAGCATAAGACTGTGAAACACTGAAGTATAACAAAGTTTTCCAACTTGAAAATGGTGGAAAGAAATGTATTACAGTCATTGACAAAAGTAGGAATAAGTACAACTTCAGAACAGATTACAAAGCTGACTTTATTGCTAATTTTAAAACTCTTTCTCTTATTCATTTTTGAAGGTTATGAGGATTATGATCACGTGCGCAGCTCCGCATAGCCGTCTACCTGGAGATGATGGCGACTCCTTAGAGAATACATACAAACTCCTGGTTAATCATCAGCATTCTGCTCCTTTTATCTAAAAGATTTAACTGCTTTTCACCAGCTCTCCGTTTTTTTTTTTTGTTGTTGTTGCACCATGTTGTCTCTACCAGCCTAAACCATTTCCTAAAATGATCCTTTTGTTGTTCCTTGCAATCCTGTTATTGAAGGAAGATGTCTGTGGGAACGTTGGGCTTTTGGTTTCTGCACAGGCCAATGAAAGAAGGGTAGTAGCACACATGCCTGGTGATATTATCATTGGAGCTCTGTTCTCTGTCCACCATCAACCAACAGTTGACAAGGTTCATGAAAGGAAATGTGGAGAGGTAAGAGAGCAGTATGGCATTCAAAGAGTGGAGGCAATGCTACATACCCTTGACAGAATTAATTTGGACCCCACACTGTTGCCAAATATCACACTAGGATGTGAAATAAGGGACTCTTGCTGGCATTCTGCTGTGGCCCTGGAGCAGAGCATTGAGTTTATAAGGGACTCTCTTATTTCATCAGAAGAAGAGGAAGGGATGGTGCGATGTGTGGATGGATCTTCATCATCTTTCCGCTCCAAGAAACCTATTGTTGGTGTCATTGGCCCTGGCTCTAGCTCAGTTGCTATCCAGGTACAGAACTTGTTGCAGCTTTTCAATATACCTCAGATTGCTTATTCTGCTACAAGCATGGACCTAAGTGACAAAACTCTGTTCAAGTATTTTATGAGAGTTGTGCCATCTGATGCACAGCAAGCACGGGCTATGGTGGACATTGTCAAGCGCTATAACTGGACCTATGTTTCTGCTGTACATACTGAAGGTAAGAGGTGGTTGTTATTATTATTGTTTATTATTATTATTATTATTATTATTACTATTATGTATGAATGCCTTTGAATTACTTTGATGTGATCAAATATCTAGATGTTGATAATTTGATTTTTTTTTATTTATTTTTTTCCCCAGGCAGTTGTCAACTGCATAGACTTTTATTTCAGTTAATAGTGATTTCACATTCCTGAGGGTGAAGTAGCATCCTGTTGATTAACCACTGAAAACAGTTTGAAATACAGGACTGTGTGGTCTACAAAGCCACTTGTTATTAAACATGTTTACTCTGGAGTTTTGTAAGTGACCTTAACTTAATGTAGTTGACATTTATTTATTTTTATTAATCTACCAATAAGTATATTTATGTGGAATAATCACTTTAAGTACATTGGTATCAATGTGTAATAAGAAAGTGTCTGGTCTTTTTAGTACAGAAGAGAGATAAATCACCATTTGAAACTGTAGCTGAACTGGAATATTTCCTGTAGTATCTGAGCCACAGAAGCACAAATAACAGAAGACCTGAGGTTCTGGCTAATATCTGAATGCAAGTTGTCCTGGCTTTTTGAGATCAACACTATTTCTGTCCTTTTTATAGTACCCCATGGAGTATTGCAGCCACTTAGCCACTTCTTGCTCTGCATCTGATCATTGGTTTTGGAAGCGAGCAAGGGAAGTCTCCTTGCATCTTCTTCACACATCATCAGGAGTCCAGAAAATCAGAACTATGTGCTATATTGCTTCCGTCTTTTTATTAATTTGAGATAGAGCTTAAGCTTTTTGCCTAGTGCTCAGAAGAGTATGATTAAAGGGAGAAGAAATGGAAAAGATTGCCTGAATTCATTATCCCTTGTATTGACAGACTTGAGTGGTTTCATCTTGCTCTAAGTGACTAGAATTTCATACTGCCTTAAGAGCAAATTTTACCAGTCCCTCTCTAATGGCACCACAATGTAATGCGTTTTCTGGAATTACATTCTGTGATGAATTTTAGGATCTCACCTCTGCTCAAACAGATGAACCTGAAATGGAAGGCGCAGAATATGATCTGGAGAATGTAAAATGTTATTAAGAGATTGAGTAGTGGTGACAGCATTGCTGAACAGCAGCAGATGCTGCTGGCTTTATTACAACCAATAGAAAGCAGATTGTCCTTCCCACACACAGAGTATGCTTCTCTGGCAGACTTCATATTCAAAGGCCTTTTTGGGGTGATGTTGGTCTGATGCAAGTATGTAGGGATCATTTTCCTCCTAAAATATGTATATATATATATGTATATATATATATACATATAATACACATTAAAATTTAGATGCAGGTTGTTGTACCCGTCCTTCCGTCATGATAAGACTGGTAAACAACTTCAGTCTTTTTTCTGTGAGGATGCATGAATATATTAGCAGTTTAATATAATAATGTACAAATCACCATACACCATATCATGTAATGAAACTACTCTGTACCAGCTGTTGCCTTTGGCATGGCTTAGTGTGCAGCCTTCATTGCACAAATGTGTTTGAATAACATCATGGTCAAAAATGTTGCCAGTGATGTGCTGCATTAGTTTTAAGTTTATGTATTCTGAGGACTTTTGATGACTCATCTAATTTTTGTTATGAACAACTTTTACACTTCTGTTATTGAGCAGGGATGCTTATGTATTCAGTTTGGGAACTGTCAAGCTTACATTGAGGTCTGAGTGCACAGAGTGAGAATACTTTTGCCGCTTCACATGGACATTACTTGGAGCAGATGGTAACATATGGCATGTTAATCTCATGGCAGAGGAACTTCGCACTGTGTGTTGGAAAGAAGTGAATACGGACGCAAGAATAAAAGCTGGAGATATGCTATAAGACAAAAGTAATAAATACCAGGGGAGCTGGATGTGAATAAAAACAGGTGAATGATATATTTCATCAAAGATGTGCCTACTTCTGCCTATATTGAAGTGAACAAGATAGGTGGTACCATTAAGTTAATACCTGAGGTCTCATACCATTTATACCATATTTACGAGAGTATAATTCTGGACTTCAGTGAATGAATATTAAACTCAGATTCTGTGAACCTTATGATCTATTTGCATGGTCTGGTCATGATGATGAATATGTTCTCCAGTCAAATAACATCATACAAATGTTTTGTAATTGTAGAACAGATGGTATTTATAATGGGATAGACAAATACAAACTGAACAAGGTATTTATCTGAAACTTGGTGATGTCTGATGTTCTGGACACTTTCCAAACATTATGGCAGATGTTGTCCCTTACAGAAATAGAAAGATTATAACAAAACAAAACAAAACAACAACAACAAAAAAAAACCAAAAAAAAACACATAAAACCACCACCAACAAGAAGGGGATCCTTTTTAGCCCAATTATCTGCTGTCAACACCTGGAGAGTCTTGGGCCTGTGTCTGAATTTTGGGTGGTTATGGTTGGCATACAGATGTGCCATGCAACCTGAGCACTTTGGAGCTTTGTCACAGACTTTTCTTGCTTAACCATTTAGCACCACAACTAAGTGGAAATTGTTGCAGAAAGTGAGGAGAATCTGGGTGTCTGCCACAAGGCACAAAGGACTTTTTGTCCTCATGTCACATGTGAAAACATTCTCTGGTCTTTCCCATAGATCAGAGAAACATGTATACAATTTTATCTTCTCCCATCTTTGAGGTGTGAAGACCTAATTGAAAGCCCATTTGAAGTCAATATGCTCCCTTTGACTAGAGTAACATTTGGATCATGCCTTCCTAGTAAGAAACAAGGTCAGTCCCTGCAAGTCAGAGCATAAAATTTGCCTGGAGGTGAATGAATTAATAATTTAAAAGATATTTTTCATTTTCATTTCAAACCATTTGTTTTGCCTCTCTGAATGGAGTGAAGAGGTAATATATGCTAGAAAAACACAACCATACAAAAGTACAATTGAAAAACAATAGAACAAATTTATCGGAGGCGGCAAGGGATAAATTTCACTCCAGTATGTAAAAAGTGTGATTTACTTTTGAACACAGCCTTAAGAAATAAGCCACTCTGTTAACATTTTCTTTAGAGAGGTAGCAGGTCAGCATAGGATCAAACTCCTCCTCAAAGTGCTTTCTTTTTAATAATGCTTTCCTCCATTTAAATTTATCATAAATGCGTATAAAGAGGTGATTCACCTTCATTTTCTTAGGACATACCCTGGCAAGTGTAACAGAAACATGACTTTATTTTCCTGCAGATAAGTTTTATTTCACACATTTTCTTTCATATTTGTTCAGTTGTGCTTGGTTACAAGACTATTTTTACCTATATCTCTCTTGCTACCGAATAAAGAACAAAATGAAAATTAGTCATAGTCTGTGAGAATAGAATGAAGAAATGAATGAAAGAACTGCAACGAGTTGACCTTAAACTTGCTGCTTGGAATAAATTATGCTTATATGATGTGAAGATTTTCCTTCAGAATCTAGATATTTTTTTCTTTCTATTCAAACTATATAATGTTCAGAGACTTTGCTTTTCACACAATATCATGATTGAAAAATTAGAGTAATTAGATTTTAATAATTGGTGACGTTATTTATGCCTTATATGCCTATATTTATGCCTACATATAAAAACACATAGAAAAGATGTACCAAAAATCATTGTTACTCCATGCAAAAAAAAAATCAAATTAAATGAAAATTAATTTCTGAAAATCTGTTTCTGAAAGTGGAAGAATCTCTAGTCTAAAGACTGGGGAATGTTTTACTGTGGCAATGTTTCATTGCTGTCCTTGGGCAAAAAAAATGTTTTATTTTTATTTTTGAAAATAATTTTATTTTCTGTTGTTTGCTACTTTGACGCTGTTTGAAACATAAGTGTTGAGGTCAGATTGATCACAATTTGATATGCTCACACTCATATTAATTTTGTAGCAAAAATAAAAAAATACATTTAATTACTTGAAAGAAAATATAGGAAATCAAAAATACAATTCCAGTCATATTCTGTTGAGGTATTTACTTGCTTTTGATTGAATATCATCATTTATAATGATGTTGCTTTTTGTTGCTCAATTTCACGTATTTCTCCTAGTATCAAAATTGTGAAAATTGAACAAATGTTATTAATCAGCATGAAGTATTGAGATAAAAAACTCAAGTAGTAAAAAGTTAATTTTTCCTTTTTTTTTTTTTTTTTTTTTTCTACAGTGACTGACTAACCTGAAAGTACTTTAATATTGCAGGCAGTCTGTCAGATGTACCCATGGTGAAATATATCGATAGAAAAATACAAAATGAATGCTATACTATGGAATGTGACAGGGATTAAGATTGTGAGGAGAAATATCATGAGAGAGAAAAGGGAAGGTGTTCAAAGAGGTGTATTATGGAGTTAAAAAATATCACTTTGAAAGGAATGGTATAGGGTGGATGTAGTTAAACCAGGATATTTGGATCAGCAAAATGTCACATTATTTCTTTTGTTTAGGCACTCAGTGTTTTAATGTCACTATTTCATAGAATAGAATCATAGAACAGTTTGGGTTGGAAGGAAACTTAAGATCATCTAGTTCCAACCTCCCTGCCATGGACAGGGATGCCACCCACCAGACCACGTTGTCCAGGATCCCAATCAGCCTGGCCTTGAACACCTCCAGGGATGGAGCATCCGTAACTTCTCTGGGCAACATGTTCCATGGCCTCATCACCCTCTGTGTAAAGAATTTTCACCTGACATATAATCTAAATCTAATTTTAGTTTAAAACTTTAAACTAAAGTCCCTGGGTATGGAAGACACTAGAATTTAAACTTATTGCTGTATATTAGTAGTGCAGGAATTAAATCAACATTGTTTCAAAATCAGAATGTTTCTGTGTAATTAAGGAACATTGATCCATATATGTAGGACCACTTCCTGTATTTACAAGAGATAGCTTGCAATTACTCTGAAAGTTAAGAAAGACAAAAGGGCTGTGCTGGATCTTTTAAACTTTTCAGTGTTC